AATGTTGTTTACTTTTGAACTCATAACCGTCTGAAAACCCTGACCAGAGAAAATGTATTCACTACCTCATAACGTATGCAAGTAGGCTTGCTTTGTGCTCGCTCTACGCAATGTAAACAACTATCAAAGTGTGAATCCCCATGGAGAGGATTCAACGAATTGTTTTTACTATTTGTATTCTCCTCATCCTGAAAGACATGCGAATTGTAATTCCACGTTGACTTAGACTGCAAAGTGATGATGTTAACATGATCACAGGTACCAAGTAGGTCCAGAGTTATCTTTTGTACCCTAAGAGAGCCATCAATCAATCTTGCAGAACAAATAACTTTGAAATCACCAGAATAATATTCTAGGCTATTTGCATATATTCGGAAAACATTGTGAATTGCCGAAAGAATCACATGCGTGCTTTGAATTATGTAGTGACATGAAATGTATGCCACTCGAAAAAGTAAACCTGAGGTCTACCTAGGCCTAAATATGTAAAAAAACCTCAGAAAGGGTACAAATCAAGTATCAGTGACTAATACTTAATGATTGGTTTATTCATATTGATATTTTGATTGTGTTTTCATCATATCAGAGTTTACAGTTTCGCAATTATTTCACATTTTCAAGTTAAAGCGGGTGGGGTTCGACTACTGGTGACATGTAAAACTCTCAAATCCAACGCGAGTTCCTGATACATCTCTGACGTAGTTTGCCAACTGACAACTGAAACTGAGACTTCTGGTTTACATGACTCTTTTTGAAACTTCACTTAATGGTCTATAAAGCGAATTAGTTCAACACAACTGCTCCCCGGCCTAATGTTGCTAACGACAGAATCCGACGAAACGCTCAAAGTGGAGAAACAGGATCTGAAGAGGCCTTGACTTTGCATGCAAACTGTCATCCGAGTTCGCACGTTGTGGGAATTGATGTATGCGAATGGTAGAGACGGAAAACGTTGTGGATACGCATTAGGCCTTCATAATCATTTATTGGGTCTCACTAGACCCCTCGAGAGCATTACAGGTCTCAGATGTTAGCAGACAGAAATGAATAATATCCTTCTCAAAAGGTATGGGCAGTAAAAGATAGTACAATCAAGATTACCCATGCATGCTTCTCATTCAAAAACGGTTCTTGATGAAATCTGCATGCCACTTACTTCATGAACTCTGAGAGACATTTTTCTTTAGTATGAAATCGCCGGGGCTTTTCTTTGAAACCCAAATTCCGCTCTCGACAGACTCGTTTTATCGTCGATTCCCTGATTATTCTATCCACGCCTTTTGCACCTTCCAAGAGAGCTTCTGTGCGTTAGTTTGATCTTCATTGCATCTAAACTAATGTCAGTCTCAGGCTACCACTTATAATATACAACGAACCTCAAACAAGGATTATATTTGACCTTTTTTTCTACCGACAACAAGAAATAACCTCTTTACAGCAGAATCTGCGGTTCGATAACTGATGGGTCAGCGCCAATTGGATGCGAAACAGAAACATTAGAAGTGAACAAAAAAGCACACCAACTGATTGGCATCGTATCACTCTGGTTTTGTTTGCAATCAGGATGATTTTCGTCCTCAAATACAGTTCACGTTTATTTTATGGGCTTGCTGTATACCACAACCTTGACACATCGCTGTTGTTTTGGGGAAATCAGATTGGCAAATAATCTAGTTTTCGGTGCTAAATAAAGCACAACTTATAATAGATTTAACGGGTGGTGAGCGAAGACAAATATGCGAAGGAAATTAGAGTTTAAAAAAAGGTGATAGATACTGTTCCATTGGACCCACAACAATCATTTTAAATAGAACACAATGTAGAGAACAACATTTGTTTTCAGTGATTCGTCTTCCGTGGCTAATACATCACGGTTTATATAACTCGGTTAAAATACCGAAGGGCGGAGATATTACTTACAAAGTAATGACAAAATAAGGCCGAAATGTATTGGTCAGTTCAACTAAATGACCTGATTGAACAAGATGTGAACAGATTGCGATCGTAATGGTCACACTAGCGTGATCCTCATAAACGTTTTGAGTCAAGTGTCTGCTCATGCGACTGAAGTACGTTGTTTCACAGGAACAGGTGAAACAGAAAACGCAGAATTAGATAGACTGAGAACCGGTCTGGATGCGAATGCGACACAATTCGCATTCACAATCCACCCTTGTGTGCGCAAAAACAATTTGTGAAAACATTGTCTCCCATGGCTCTCCACCCACCCTATTTTCTCCGGAAAATCCCGACTAAACATTACACCGGAAACAGTAGACATTTTCTATATTCCCTCAAGTTTATTAATTTATTAATTCCATTATTTTGTAAGTAATATCTTCGCCCCCCCAGAATCCTGATAATTGATATTTGTGAGTATGCATGTCTGTGTGTGTTTGTGTGGAAAGTGGAAGATGGAGAGTGGTTATGAATAGGTGAGTACGTGAATGAGTGAGAGGTAATACATGGAGTTTACGTCACCAAATTGTTAGTGGATGGCCATGGTAACATCAGTGGTCTTACAAACTGTTTCTGGGATCACGAGGAGGGGTTATAGAGACGAATGTCAATCTCCTCGGTTGTTGCAATACGCTTAAATTGACCTCTTTGGATAACCTACCCTTGACCGCAAGTAGAGGACGGAAAGCCTCAAGTACATTAACTGTGTGATTAGATTTCAAAGGAAAAGACCACTTTGCAATACCGCATGATTTATGTCCAGGACCATTTCGCTGCATCTCAACATAGTGCATTCTGTAGAAAATGTGTGATAAGACTCAGTTAAATGTTTCGCAATTGCCGTCGTCCCGGTCCTTGTAAATTCCTGATTCAACCAAATGGGATGATTCTCGTTGGTGTGGTCAGATAGACATCTCACCGCTAGTCCAACATAAATTGTTACACCTTTTATTAAGAGGTAAATCAGCAAGCGAAGGACTGCAGTGCATAAGAAATGTAAGAAAATTATTACGAATCAGCTATGGGGTTCGAACATAAGTCACACGGGGGATAAGTCAGTGGTTTTAATTGATGGATCAGCGCCAGTTAGTGACCAAAGATTGAAGTACTTCATCACGATAGACTGCTCGTGTTTTCAATCAACCGATGGAAAAGGCTAATTGCTCTTCCAGGCCCGTTCATTCTAAACTGCCTCTGTAAACCACTTTACCGGGATGACATGAAATATTTCCGGTGTGTCTATCGATTAACCAGACAAACGGGTTCGGTTTGTTTTTCTATGCAATCACAACAATTTGAATTAACTAAAAGTACACAAAATGAAACAAACAACCGGGCAGGAAACAGTCTGTGAATTAGTTAACGGTTGCAATCGAACGAAGAGGCGACTGAACTGACTGAGCAATGTCTGTCATCAATGAAGCGTTACAATGTGAACAACAGCTCGCGCTGTCGGAAATTTGAAAAATGTGGCAATACGTTAGAGAGCATATTGCACTCTTCAGATAAAAATGATCAGGTTTTATTATTGCTGTATTTCTCATTGAAAGCAATGCGGGTGAAACGCTGTTTGGGTAGAGTTTTACAAGAAAGTTTTATTTAGCGACCAAGCCTAGAGAAACATGCATGTCATGAAAAGATTGAATGGGATGATACTAATACAGCCTCATTGGAAAAGATGGAGCTGTTATCCGATATTCGGGCATGGATTGAAATTTGTAGAAGTGCTCAAATGCATATCAGTGAACTGACGGTAGAGTACGTACATGACTGCATCTTAGAATTGGTTATAGGAACAAAGTACTCAAGATGAACAAATGATTGCAAAATCATGTGCTTCCAGATTATCACATTATGAGGAAATTCACGGCACTTTCCAGTCATTTGCCGAGGGAGTTAGCTATCCCTATTTTTTCACTGATAGGTAAAAGACTTGTGGTTATAAAACTAATTTAGATACAGTAAAATTTCTTTCATGTTGTTTAGTAAACCGGATTGGATAGCTGCTTCGTTTTGCCCGGGACTCAGTAGAAAAGAATATGACTAGCGGGTCACATCCTTTAACCGTAATATGTACGATCAGGATTATCCCAAAAGCTGTCTATGGCTGTTTGTTTATTAACAAGCAAACTTTCGTTATCTCTAAAAGTGCATTGAAGTGTAAAGAATGAAAGAATTCCAAAGGAGTGGAACCCTCGGCAAATCACAGTCAACACACCACGTACCGTGTAAGCCCGCATAAACAATGCAGTACTATACAATCACGTAACAATACAACCAATTTGTTGGCTATCGACGGTATAAGTGGGATAAGAGTTTCGAGTTTGGAGAGTGACGGTCCGAGTTACGCGTGGGATGCAAATACTATACACAAATATTGGTTAGTCTCAGGCAGTACGAAAAGGCTATCCAGTGGTATTTGTTGGCTGAAGCTAATGAGACATCCAGCGTAATAAAAAACGACCTTACTTTTCAGATGAACCCTTATCAGAAACAAATTTTACGAGCAAATTATTGGTAAAGTAACGAAAATTGTATTTACGGTTTCTGATCACCCTCACGGCAAGTGGTATTGCCGAAATCGCATCAATTGCGATCAATGGTGGGAAACATTAAGTTTACCATAATCGTGGCATGACCATACCTTGCTAGTGGACAATACGTAGGTAGGTCAACAAGTTTCAAGCTGCTTGGCGATCAAGGCATCCCAATGCGACTCTCTTTGCCTGATCAAAATGCAAAGAGATTGATGTGCCTAAACTCGTCCTTTTGATTGACGAAATGGAATTAGTTGTGGTCGTTCAATGCTTAAGAACCCTGATGGAAGCTGTAGGTGGAATCGAAGAGAAAAAGACATCGCGAATAGTAAACTCAAAGGTAGCTTCTAATATATGGTGAAACCTTGTGACTTCGTCATGATATTCGACCTTTCCTCAAGGAAGGAATCTACATCACCGCGACCCATAGTGTTTCGCTTTATCGTTACAAGAAATTGCTCTACACCACTTCTAATGGCTTGGTTACGTTTTGCATATGCCTGCCTATCGTTTATTATTCCGTGTTCTCTCTGCATGTGTTGTGTGTGACTGGGGAACATTCCTCGGCGGTTTGACCAAAGATTGTAGGTATGAATAAGTTATCTTTAACATGGGCTTCCACTGCTGCAGACCAACTTCTTGGTAGGGCTCCAAGGGATGAGGATTGTCACTGGCTAGTACCACTGAGGGATATGTTTCGGAATAGAAGTCAATGACGCTAATTTTGTATGTTGTTAAAACCTGTCCCCATCCAATAACCAAATGAGATAAAAACCAAAAATTGCACAGTGAGACAAAAATAAAACAATTTATTCTTCTTTGTTGGATTCTCCGTAGTCGTTTTTCTTCCATGCTGTACTATAATGTACTCAAACAAAACCATTTCCTGTTATTATTGGTTTTGCGTGGACACCGTTCTTGCTTACAAATTGGTGATATACATATAACCGTATCATTAACATTTTATCTAATTACATTCATAAATTCGAGTATGATACTAATACTTGTTTTGAAATTATCAGAAATTAGATGGGCTGCGCAAATGAATTACTTTTGATGAACGAACGGCAAACGAGGTTCATTGAAGTGTGTCTACGGAAAGAGAAATGTAAATAATGAAATCGAACTCATCCTTTTCCTGGACAGTGTAGATGTGAAACTGTTTGGTAATGAAATAAGCATCAAGTACTGCGAGCTATTATAACTGGATGCCGCGCCATGGAATATTTGTGTGGCTCTCCATACTTGTCGCACTCCAGTCAAACCAGTCCTCACAAATTCACCTAAACCGCGTTACTCTCAAGACTCGGATCGTAGACAATGATAAATTCAGGGAAACCAGTTTGCTTGTTTGACACGAACCGAAACCAACAAAATTGCTCAGAGGATATCCGTCTGATGAACATGCCAATTAGAAAAGCATAGGTAGCACTTACCTATAGATAGCCTGCAAAAACTTCCGTTGATGTACTCGAACCCGATTGGGATTAAACGAAGGCATCAGTTTGGCGTGTTTGTACAAGAGCCAGGTTTCACGAAGCACGTTGGCTGCACAGTGTTTCACCTAAATTAATTTGGACGAGACCAAATTAAATCACTGTTTTAGAGGGAGGATGGTGGGGAGTGGGGTGGGGTAAGGGCGGGTGTAAACGAATGATTGTGTCCTGATTTAATGAATGGGTACGGGAGTTACGGATCGGTTCCTGTGTGTGCGTGCTTAGATGAGTGGGTGTTTCTGAGTGAGTAAATTTTGTTTCATACAGTTCTGCGAATCGAATCGGGAACTTGATTCTGAAACCAAGAACCGAGAATGTTTTCTACTAACTGAAAGACGCAGTTTGTTTTAGAAAAACCATTGATACTGTGCTTTTGGCTACTGGAGGATGAATATTCAGTGAAAAATTAAATCATAAATCGAAATGTTTGAATACAGAACGCTTCATGAGGTAAGATGCAAATGTCTTCGCCACTGGAGTTTACATTGCAGAACGATCGATTTTTTTCGACTCCATAAACTATAAGTAAGCAACCTTCATTAACCTCAATGAGTGCTGCAAACACGCCTGAGCACCTCGTTTTATAAACCACAAAGGCTAAACCACGTGTTAATTGACTGATATATGTTGAAATTGTCAAAAGGTCAGTAGCCTCGGTGCGATTCTAACCCACGCATGGAAAGGTATGCTGGTGTATATTGACAACTGTGAGTTTAACAGAATTTGTTTTAATTTCATAAAATTATGACAGTTGCTGTAGTAATGGAATAAACTCACGGAAGACATTCAAAACAAACTTGCTTGAAAGTGCCTGAAGTAAATTAATTGTATTGAAAACCGGTCGTTTCGGATATCATCAGCAATGTGGATTTCCAATACAAGCAATGTTTTATCCCCTGTACGGACATTCGCTTTTTATCAATCTCAAGTTGAAAATATTCATTCTTTCTTAGTATATGCATTCATTCATTTGTTTTCTCAAACGGTTGTGGTAGCTTCACGACCGAATTATTCAATGAGTGAGTACACAAACAGAGGTCGACGCGGTTAAACAATGATGTGATGAAGTTCAATGCAGAAATTCCTGCGGTGACAGGTTGTAGATAAGGTAAGGAAAAACCTCATTTGCCCTCTTTGCATCAACCCAAATCTGGTAAAACTCGGGTAGAACACCATATGTTGGTGCTGGTTCGAGGAAACACACGGTCAACTTGTTGGCGCACACTGAACAACGCATGTTGATTAAAGTAATCCTAGTGGTGCATATCTGAGGTACCAAACGTTTTACATGGATTGGATTATGATTCTGTGCAATATTACATCGCATGGACTACATAAACATCATTGCTTGAAGCTCTTCATGCACAGCTGATAGTTTAGTCCCTCGTGGTGAAAACTTTATATGCCCAGTGATCTAGTAATTAGGTTGTTATCCATTAGCCGTCTCAAATGTAGAGCATTTTAAGATTCAAACGTTCAATCAGCTTATGATTCATAAGTTCCTTTAAAAGCTTGTCAGATTTCAAACATTATTCTCATTAAGCCGTTGATTTCGGACTAGAATCGGTCGGTCCGATACTCACAAAATGGGTTTGCAAATGATACATTTAATCCACCACAGGTGATATTCAAACGGATAGGATAATCACTTCAACGGCACTCAGGTCTTGAGATTTAGTCTCGCCACCTCATCCACCTTAGGCTGTGAACTCTGAAGGCGCCGTTGATTGGCCACTGCTGCAGCGTGAAAAATGACTGCACAGTGGCATGTTGTTCAGATTAAAATTTATGGTTGAAAGTGTTGGAGTCAAAAAGATCCCTGATTTGATATCGGACCCAATGTAGGCGATTCAACTCCATTTTACTCTGCCAACCCACTCCTCACATTTCAGTAAAGGGTCCTTCCGACCGATCTGTCAATCTTGATAAACACCTCACTTGACACCCTATCAACGGTTACCTGTTTTTGGAAACTGCCTTAGAGGAATTAATTTATAGGTAATTCATGTATGTTTTTCGTAAAAATGATTAAATAAATAGATGGTGGCAATCATTTTTACCCCAAACACATTTTACTGAATAAAATATATTTAGATGGTGAATGTTTGGATTAGCCCATTCGGTTTTTCACAGGCCCAAGGCACTGTTGATGATGTTGGTTGTAGGTTTCACTCCTTGGGAGATCGTTATTCCTCCTCTGTTTGCATGCACTTAATTGCGATGGAAATGTTTGTGATAACCAACAAAGAGCACTGGATTACTGTTTCATCCTGTTTGGGACTCGTCAGCAGTGCGTACTTTTTTCCCTGTCAGGACTCGAACCGTGATTCTTCGGGCTGGGACTACGAACCCTAAACCTTGAGCTATACGGCTAACGAAACAGCTGTCCAGTGCTTTTTGTTGGTTATCACAAACAGTTCCATCACATTTAAAGTAAATTTATCTATATTGTTATCTAGTTGGCTGGCTAAGATATAATGAATTTTCGGAGCTTTGACCCCAATTGGTTTAACACAAACTTGTCGTTTGAGGCATTGAGTTCCCTTCATCCATTTCATCAATGCGTACATTGGTCATTTACCCGTTTTATTGTCTATCGAATTGAAGTGAGATGCTTGTAAAATCTCAGAGCTAGTTTATCACATTGAAAATAATTATGTTGACTGGTGATTGTGAATTGTCGAAGATAAATATTATTGTAGAAACCAACTTTGGAAGGGCTTTTCTAAAGTAAGGATTAAAAAGAGCGTAAACGTAATTTACATTGGTTCAAAACTATTTTTGGTCTGCTAAAATCCGAAGGAGGAATCGCGCATTCAAACTCTATTGTTATGTATTTTCAATTGCGATCACCACGAAATACCAATGACTTGATACACCATGTTATTATCCATTTGTTGAAAACCTGATTGGCACACCTGAGGTTAATCTGCTATTGTGGCATTTATGAGAAACGTTCACTGGATGGCTTACTCCTGCTTTGTTAATAACAGATCAAAATTAAAGTTCACGCACTGCTAACAATTGTACCAATGTGATGTCATAAAATTCGATATATAAATTGCAAGCCTAAGGAAAACGATTAGTGGTTTATGTTATTTCATAACTCAGTGTGAATTAATGTGTCACAATACACAATAATTCAGTTTATTATACTCAAAATGTTAGATGTTCAAAACATTGAGTCGCTAATTTCGTAATCTCGCATTGCCAGCGTATGTGCCCCAACGGCACGTTTTCATTCTGCCAGAGTGCGTTGGCACAAATCACGTCTAGGATGGTAGTTCATCCGCGATCAAATATTTTTTGTCATTGGTAATAACTAAATTATATCAGCAAGAAACCTAGTTGGTGAAATTAAAAGTTTTTCAGAACATATTGTTGAAGTCAACGTTTGCTTGACTAATCGAGAATTCAGATGATTAGGAACTAAAATTTGGTAAACTTATTTTGTTTTCGGCAATTCCAAAGGATGAAGCATACGTCTTTGCAAACAGCAAGGCTTGAAAACCTGGGTTAGTAGTATATTAGTGTATTTGCATCTCATTGAAACTTTTTTTATTTATGGCGGTTTTTTCTTTGCAGGTCTCCTTTAAACCCCACCGAAAAAGTACGTGTCCGCCTGCGATTTTCGCAATCCTGCTCCCCCGTCGTCTAACATAGCCTCAACCCCAATGTGCAGTCGTCCGTGGTCTGCGAAGACACGTATAATCGCGAACCGCCGAGATTACGAGCCAGGGGGCATCCGGTCGCACAGTCGTGTCGACTTTGCTGCGCTGCGGAAGCACCACCAAAAAACACCGGTAGCATTGTACGTTAGGTATAAAATGCACGAGATTCTGAAGGTCTTTCATTGTTTGTAACTAAAGGAAAAGGATTCGTCCGTCATTTTTCTAATTTGGTTATGAAAATAAGGTAAAATAAAGAATCTTTGTAGTACTAAAAGCATTCACGAGTGATGTTCGTAACGTATAGCAATAGCAAACAAATCTGTAATAATGATTTCATTTTGAAAATATTACTGTAATTTTTATTCAGTTAGGCATGCGCACAAAATGATTGACGGAATTGATTGTTTGGTCAACTGATCAAAACAAAATTAAGATTTGACTTGTTTGTTTGTTTGTTTGTTTGTTTGATTATAACGTGTAGGTGAATGCTGATCGCTGGAACCGGTGATCCATTTACGGTTGGCATAACCAATTATTGCGCATAGATGCTCAAGAAATTGTGTCACAATCGTTGGAAAAATATTCGTTCTCAATCAACTCGGAAATAGTATTCATTTGTGGGTTCTGGTACATTTTAACTACTGAATATGTATAGTACCAGTACGGCAGTTGCCAAGTTGGCGGAGTGCATAGATTTCAGCAACGGAAGAAAACAATAGGGATTGCAGCTGCACACACTCAGCTGATTCTAAACATTTTGTGACTTATAGTATTTGATGTGCTTTGGCAATCTTCTCGCGGCTACACTGAACAACACAAAATGTGTTTAAATTACTGACTTTGTAATGAACTTGTCGAAGTGGTTAAATATCTATCTGAGAAGTGGATAGAAAACTTGTTTCTCTTGCTGTGCACTTGTTTGATCGAATTCATATACTTATAATGGTCTGAGTTTGATATCATCAAAACATTTATTTATCCATATAAAACGTTCGTTATGAAAAACTGAATATAAATATATATATATATTTGCTCCTGTATGTATCAGTCATTATTCGTTAGATTTTAGTGTATTGGAATCCATCTTTCACAACCGTGTGTCAATAAATTTGGCCAAGCGGCCCGCATGGAGAGTCCATGGGGTGAACATGGGAGTCAGTGTTCGTGATAGAAAACTGACAATCAATAAGGTTTAAATAAAATGCTTGAGCTTCTCCAGTTCTTAGGTATATTCCGTATATCATCTCTATGAACAAATATTTATTTAAATGTGATTCAAATGAGAATGCTTATTATATTCGAATGATATAACTTTAGGAAGGCGTTAGGTTGATCAAATGATTGATAAACCAGTTTTCATCGACTGCGCAGCAACTGGTATGGCCGTTTGTGGCCAATGAAACCACCCTGTTCGAGTAAACAGTTTTCCGCTTTCGTGTAATGGGGAAGCCGTCCGTTAAAACGACTTATATTGGCAGTTCCCAGTGAATGGAAGTAATTCCCCGATCTGAACACCTCCTCTCTATGGGGTGCAGTAGTTAATCGAATTAGTCCAGTGATCGGTGAATAATCAGGACACTTTCCTCACCATAAGGAACGGTCCACGATATCCATTAGTTATCCTCTCTCCGTCTTTTATTGTCACTTGAGTCAATTAGTAAAGGTTAAATCGAGATATGATCGACACGTTCAGAAGTGCACTTGTTTCATTCAAAGGACACTAATGGATTTGATTTGTGCCGTCACTTGCCCACTTTCTAACAATGGTAATAGAAAGGTCACCGAAGCATCTCACTTGTGAGTAGATGCGGACAGGTGAAATAGTGTTGCGGTTCAGATAGTCAAACAATAAAAATACTTCTGCAATGAAAAACTTGTGTCGTGTTTACTGGTTTCACGATGTTCATCACCGTTCAAGATTTTCAATGAAATTACACGGAAGATTCGTTTAAAATATTCAAATGTGAGCTTATTATCAAACATGTAAAACAAGTTGATTGTGGAAATTAAATATTACATATGCATTTAACATTTTGCTGATCTTTATTTTTGTTGGTACACTATATAAAGTATCAAGACTTTTGTGCAAAATGTGGCTTTTCTGAACAGATTACGTGTTGAAGACTAAACGAGAACGTTTTATGCGATTTTATTGAAATTGTGTAAGTTTTTACAAGTTTTTATCTGTTATGATCACTGTGGAATCCTATTTGAAATATCACAAGTAACCTCAAAAGTAGCTCTTTTCTCCGAGAAATAATGAAATTAAATAAAGAGGAAAACGTGTAAACACAACTAGCATAAAGTTGATCATGGTGTTCAATTTTCATTGGTCAGTGGAATGCAAAGCATCGAAAATGTAATCGAATGCGAAGTGACAAAAAGCGTTTTAAGGCTTCCGATGTGACAAATATTGGTGATATTTATTGTGGCATTTGGAGAACTTAGCATTCCATGGTAATAAGCTGACTTGTTCTACACTGTTCAAAAAAAAGTTTCAGAGCAATTTCAAGATTTGTCAGACAGTGATTAGAGATAAGCATTTATTTAGTAAACATTGAGATAACCAAGATCGACATCGATTAGTTGTTCAGTCAATGCAAGAAAATAAAAATCAATTATTTATAAGATAGCAGTCAATTGTATCAACACAGTCGCACATTTGTAACATCTCCAACTTATGATTGTATTAAGTTGACGAAAAATACCCAAATAGGAAACAACAAAAGCCAGGGTCGTATTTTAAACTTATTTATGGTTTTTCACAAACTGAAGCCCACCAAAATGCAGTTCAGCACATTAAAAGTAGACAGCAAGTGTGCTGCTTACTTGCCACATTGTTACATACAAGCATATATGATTAATAATCCTCTCTCGCTCTGTGGTAGCAAACACCGTGTATTTGATGCAGCTATTCCGGATCAGTGAGCATTATTTTCAAAGGAAAAAGGAATAACGAATATTCTGATCGGGGTAGTTATTCCTCATTTATGTCAACGATTAACCTATGTATACTAATAGTCTCGCCCCCACCCCACAGGCCAAGTAACTAATTTCACACGTTTTGACCTAAAGGTCAAACCAATTTCACTCGCCCCAACCACCTGTTGAACGATCACCAATACACACACAGATATGCACGTACACATACACGCATGTTCGAATCACATCCGAGTTCTATAGGACGTCATCATTGCATCGCCTTATAATTGCTTGTAACGTGAGATTAACCGATTGAACGACTTGAAAATGCCTTTCCAAGAGGGTCGAAATGTTGTCACCAACGCCTTGTGTTTTGGTTTTTCATTCGTCGTGGCTAAGACAAGCTAATTTCCTCAATACTTTTGAGCATGATGCCCCAGTTTTTCAGTGAGATCCGATCCATCCATGGATCTCGTGTGATTCTGATTCGTTTATTCCAAAATTACTATAGACTACGGGACAGTTTCCCACTGACTGGAGTTTGTGTTCACAAAACTAGTAAAACGGTGAATAAATATTTCATTTTTCCAACGTGGTACCTCAATGGAAATACCAATTGTTTACAACTCAAACACAATTCAAAGGATTGCCAAGCACATAAAACGAAACGGGTTAATTTTTATGCAACATGTTCAAGGTTCTTTTCCGTAAAGCCGTTTATCCTCCTGATGTAAATACCACAACATTTTCTTATTGTTCTTAATGGAGTTTTGCGAAGTAAAGTTGATGATGGAAAAACTTTCCACATTCTTTGTTTTTTGTTGATCTTTGTTGATTTCACGAAATCTGAGCACATAAAGAGGTCCTACAATGAAAACAAACCTGTAGCTCAACAAACCGCAGACGGCGAATTCAAAGTTGATACCACTTTCATTTTTTAAAAGAGAATGTTTATACAAATAAAATACTTAATACCGGAAGCAGTATGTATGTAAATTTTATCCCTCAGGGTTGCATACTGCTTCGATCTGTGTGCGTTTCCACTTAGTAACTCATCTTTTAATGAAGTCATGGTCTATTGCTAGGCCTTTGCAATCGGAACTTCTTCCCTAAACCCCATGTCAATGAATTTTCCAAAGTATATTCCTTTGGATATTTTCATATCACCCTGTAGGTCCAAGGTTTTGCTTCTACGTAAACACAGAAGTCCATCAGGACTGTGTTGCACAGAGGATGAATGCATTTATATATGACCGACGTCAATTAAAGTAAAATGAAATTTCAAGAAAGCTCAAATAGAAACACTTCATTATTAGTGGTGACTCACATGTTTAGTAATTTTGTTAGCTTCCATAAAATGTAAAACGTGTTTCTCAGCTTTGGTCATTTCCAGTTTGCGCGAAAATACAGCCACCAATAATGCTGTGCATGCCGATCCCTATAGATAAATGCAGAATGAGTTAAAGAAAGAATGAAATCATGAATTAGCGTTCAGTTATTTTGCGTGCACACACCGACTATATCCGAATGGAAATTTACACGCTGGCAGCCAATTAATATGCAATAAATGCAACATTAATTCAGGCAATCTAACAAGCATGTGTGTTGTTCATTATTCAATCCTAACTTTACACTAATGAGCATCATAGTCACATTTGTGAACAGAGTTCTTTTAAACAATACACATGTTTAGTATCCTGTGCCTACCCTGCCTGGCTGCAAACCAATCGAAGAAAAAGGAAAACAGCTGTTTCCCGACCATCCCAAAAGTAGTTTTCCGTCTCAATTCGTTTAATCAGTGCATCTATAAATGTTATTAAAGGCGACTGCTCAAGAAATGCAACAAATAACATAATTATGTTCGTATTCACTGAATTTAGATTCGGGTACATAGTTTCGGATATTTACGGCTAAATTTTGAAAACTAGAATCTAGGTGGGTATTTAAAATAAATAATAGCAGCGTTGGCCGGGCTTTTCAGTGAACCGCGATAAATGCGGCGCACTCCGTAAACGTATACAAAATCAGTTCCAAATTCATTTTTGTTAAACGTGTGTAAGGGTATGGCTAGAATAGTTTGGGAAAGCGATTTCAGGTTATATTCACTTATATTTCTCACTAATCGATGTATTCTTTGAGCAATTTACGAATTCCATTTCGAGCTGTAAACTAATAAATGAAACGCCTTCTTGGACTGTATTTTGAAACCCATTCCGCCATTCAAACACTGGCATATTTCTTCCCTTTAAAAGGAAGTCCAGTCAATGTTTTCGTGATTAAGTATACGTTGCACCTGTAGTAGCACAGAAATGGTTGCTCATATTTATTGAGACTATGTCTCAATCAGAGCCGGCCATGCTGAAATTTTCTCAGACGCAGCCCAACGGAGTAACAGTAAACGAAAGGGGTGAGACCGTATGTCCTTCTTGTGAAGAAAAACGTTGTTCCGTTGAGTCTCAGAGATTGCGAGAGAAGTATAAATGATCAAATTCAAAAGAATTACTATCATTCTCTAGAATACAAACGCAAGTTTCTACATTTTTGAACTGAACCATACACATGAGGTTTTCAACACCTATTAGGGGAAGCCACAAATCGAGCAGATCTCTTTGTAATCTTCTGTTTGGTTCTTCCAAGATTCGAAGCTCGACATTACTTTCTCCGCTATTTCACTGAGTTCGAACGATAATCCTTAACTGGACACCCAGAATATCAATAAAGTAAATGGAGATTCTGTAATGAGCAATACCTACGGAGAAAAGAATGTGGCTCGAATAACTGCATAAGTTTGCATAAAGTTCGACCTAGACAACTAACTTGTGTTTCGAATTGCTTTAATTAGACACCCTATTTTAGAAATCAATATATCACGTTGTTAAACAATTGCTAGGGAACAAAAGTGTAGCTGTGAACTCGAAAGATAAATTCGGGTGTAGCGCTCAATCATTGTACATGTTTCCATGGGAATGATTCCTGTAAGGCTGTGACGAAACGGCTTCCAATTGACTACGATAACGTTCAAGGACAGGGAAACGGTTAAACAGGAGGGACATATAATCGTTTGATCAATTATCATAAGTTATGTATTTGTTTGGTGGAGGGAGGAGTAGCGTGTCAATTAAGTAAATTGAAATATTTCATTTGTTGCTTTGGCACAAGAAGCGTTTCCTCACAACGAATTAAGTTAATGATTCCGTTTTGTGCGAACTGTAAGTGTTAGGAACGTTCCCATTGAAATTTATCATTATTTGGTCTGGTTGACTGGAATACAAAATATTTTTATGGATTATGTGGTAGTGGATTTACTAGTACTGTGTACCCTACAACGGGCTAAGGACTTTGTAATAACGTTTAGATTCGACTTCAGGCTTTCAAAGTTCAATGTTAGCAATTATTCTTCATGTTTTCAGTCACATTTTTCTCAAATTACAGGTGACAGAACACTGGATTTACCTGAAACCGATAGTACCTTGGTGTCAAAACTTTTGGTTGTGACTGTACAGTGTTAGTCTTATTAGATATTATTGAAGTATCTAGCAGTAACATTAGATTTGTTCTTAGTTTACACAAATGGTTCATCGTAATCCCAAGGCAAGTTGCAAAGCTTTTGCTCATTATGTTCACACGTGACAATTCCTAATCGAATCCAAATAATCTTCCTTATAAGTTTGAAATTATGACCACATTGAACCAATTAATGGGTAAACTGAAAAATGTAGTTACTTATCATATCTAAGTCCTATGTACCATTGGTGCTTCACCGTCATTTCTCGATGGTTCCATTAATCATAGCAATTCAGTTTAACGGTTAGTTAAATACCGTTACAGATAGAACACAGACGAGAATGCTTAAAAATCCCAAAAATCTTTGTTTCTCCATTTAGTTCTGTGAGTATCACTCATTTGAAGCCGATTATCTCATAACAACCACAGGCGTTATGGATGTATATGGAACGATATCCAGTATTTCTTAGGTATGTACTTATTTATGGTCACAATAGACGGCATATCAGCATTCATTTTTGCTTTGATACTTATCAAGACTTCTGTCACCCAAATGTCCGCATAGATTCTCCACTGCTAACCTGTCATATGATCAAATTGTCAATGCTGAGTTTAGGTAACACCGGTTTTCTTGTTCTCAAGCACGCAAGCATCTTCTGAGATGTTCAGCGAGTGTTACTGTTCTTTTTTCTTGGTCTTCTTGAGCTGTACACCATGAAGGTCTGTGTTTTACTGAACACTTTGTCAATTTGTTAGAAATCGGCTTCACTGAGAGTGATAGAGCTCCAAAAATCCTCCTAAAGTGAACAAGCAGATCGACTAGGTTACGTAACTGTATAGTTGGATAGTTTGGCCTTGGAAAATTCAAAAAACTTGACCAAGTCATAAATGAACGCGGGTGACTAATTACTCTTAGAAGGAAAAAAATATGAGGATGTGGATAACGAGAATGATGACAATATAGCTTCGGAACATGAAAAGAGCAAGAATAATCTCTCACCAGGGTGAATGGTCCAAATAATTTTACTAAAGTACCAATAATTATCGTTTTCTGTTTGATTACTGGGTTATGGATTAATAAAGTAATGCGATTTCCATGATTGCACTGGGAAACTAAACAAGGAATTTTTTTATACAAATACAACTCCTTTACTTTCCAACATTCCTTTCTATTAGTGTCCAGTGGTAATGTGCTCAAACCCTCAGGCCTCTGTTTTCGAATTTCTCAGAGTCTTTTCATCCCCATGTGTATTTTTTAACTGGCAAAGATTCTGGCAATAACCGTCCAAAATGTTTGACTTAGTGATTAGATCGGGACTGGGAAACAGCTTACGTTGATTGCTCTTGAAGTACAAAAGAATTTAAACCAAATTTAGTTAAAAATAAATTATTTTGACATTGTTGTGTTCAGCATTGGAACAATGGGCACAAATCTTCGCCTTCACTGGGTAATCTATTTTGAATACAAACCACTACACGTAGGATTCTGTTTTCTGTACGAATTAATACGATTTTCTTCTCATATGAATCCTCACTGTATGAATGAGCTCTATTTAAACTGATAAAATATACTCTCCAATATAACCTGATGACCACAGCGTATTTGTGATTGAAACCGAACTTCACTAATTGAGATGTATCCCGATGAGGTCTACTGGACATGATTTCACGATGTTAGGTCTGATTAAAGCATTCAATTGCACCACATGTTAACTCTGTTTTATCAATCATAATTGTCCTCGTTTTCGAGATAGAATTTATTTTATCTTTTGTCTGGTTTCCATGAAAACAAAAGTATTTAGGCAAATAATTCTGTCCGAACAGTTCTTCAGCCGCATGAATTTTATAACAAACAGCTGACATAGTTTTCTACTCAGGTATAGACAAGGCTACTTACTGGAAAGGAGTGAAAAACTTCACTGAGATTCTATTATTCGTATTTGCTTTAAGCAGGTAGTTGCCTTAAGTTTCAATTTTCCATCACTTTCATGAAGGAAAGAGGAAAGAGCAAGTTATTAAACAATGATTTATTTATTTACCCTAAAGATGTCTGCTTTATACTGAACACGGGGTACTGGCTCTAAAACTAAAGGAAACTAAAGGAATGGGAAGTTCAAATAATTATCCAATTCACGTGGAACTGTTTTTGGTGGACTGCTTTTGGTTAAATTTGATTCGGAAGAGTTCGGGTTAAACCTTTACGTTTTATTTGACAGTTCTTTTTTGAATTCGATCTTTGTGGAATAAAAAAATTGAATACGGTGCACTGTAGTACAGTGTGAAGCAATCTAGTCTCTCTACCTCCCCAGGTAAGTACTGCGTTTGACAGGTTAGTGAAAAATAATACTTCATTAGCTTTTTCCCTGTTCGTTACAAACGAAGGAGAGTGGAGACAATTTATGAGTAGTGAAGAAACATTTGTATGTCTGATAAGGTCGCAAATGAGAAAATAAAGTTAAGTGGGACAACTCGCGATAACGACTACATGAACTTATTTGTGTGAAATACTAGGGCACTGCGCGTCTTAGAGTTGTGCAATGAATATCCGTACCGAGGTGTTTCCTAACTACCATTCAAGAGTGGTGGGGTAAGTTGTTAGAATGTCGCATGAGCTCATTCATCAATGCAATTAAAATAGTTTTGTTTACATTTGCAGCACAATACCTGATCCTCTAGTCAAGCAACTGCTTTCGCAGTATGCTAACTCCTCCGAGTTTTACCAACTGGTCTGTGAGTGCTGGGCCAACTTTCTAGGCAGAACCGAGGGGTAGCTTTTGTAAGGAGTATTCGAAAACTTTAGTATGAATCGGTAAACAGAAGAGTGAATCACACCAATGGTCGAGGTCTAAGGTGGTCCCAGAACCGGATAACAGCATCACGTTTTAGAGATTGGATATCAAAAGAACGTGTTTAGAGTATTTTATAGAGATCCTTCAAGGAAAGCAATCAGTTGTTTTAGTGTGCATAAAGCAATACTTATTGAATGAATGAAACCCGAAGTGTGCTAGCCTGAGTTACTTGTAACTCACCCTTCGTTGGTAAAAAGACGAGAAAGTTTACCACCAACACTATATATGATAAGATACGGCAGAACGTTTCCAGAACTAATTTGTGTTAGAGCAGTTTTCATGAAATTTTATTTCAGGAAAACGTTTTCGCAAGTCGAAATTGTCCTTCCATCAATATAACTGATCGGTTCATGTAAATAGTATTTCCATCACTGAACACCATCAAACCAAAATATTATTCATGTAAATCAATGTCATTTTGGAATAACTTCAAGTCTAACATTTCTTTTTCATGAAAACATACTGAAATATTCACGAGTGAAATATCTCGGATAACTCTCAGCTTAAACTGTAGTAAATGCGAGTTTTGCTTTTTTCGATACCAAATGATTTAAGAGAGTAATCCAATCAACTCCACACTGCGTATTTGGATTCAACTCATGACAGGCTAATCATTGTGGAAAGCACTGTTTTTCAAAATGTACCTCTATAAACTTTGATTCCGTAAACAAAAAATTTCTCAACATACCTGAAATGACAGAGTCAATTTATAAATTCGAACGTGGGAGCTTACCATCAGACCTGCAGTGACCGCAACTAAGCGACCGCAGCTCGTATGTGGTACAATGTCACCATAACCGATACTCAAAAATGTAACCGAAATGAGCCAGGCGGAATTCAGCAACCCCAAATGGTGTTCACCCTGTTCGCTAGAGAGAAAAAATAGTGTATGTAATGCAAGGGGGAAATGGCAGTTCACAAACCCAGTGACGATGAATCTAAATGGAATAATTAAAATATTCTACCATTACATTTGAATGCAAACCTTTCTAAACGTCCGATAAAGCCCAACGTAATAGACATTTTGCACAAACAATTTTATGGACCTTCCGCATCATGTTTTGTACCAATTGGAAGAACGGTAAAAGTGCATCTGATTTTGCTAAATTAATCACGTGCAAATTAGTGAGTGGGAGACATTTCACTATTTCGTTCCAATTTAAGAAGAGCGGGTTCATGGGACAAAATTAGGGAATTGCTGAGTATAGAAACCTCTATTGGCCTTTCAATGTTAATCTCGTTATTGGTAGAAAGCACTGGTTTTCTATATATCAAGCAATATGATGTACCAATCACCATCTTTCGAAGGAAATGTTAAGTCCTAACCCTGGCCATCCCGGGACACGCTTACAGCCAGACTGATCTCGAAGTTCATGGGTTCACATTTTTTTGTGATAAGTGTCAATTAAATATCAAGTTAAAATGGCATGTCTTTTCCTCTTCAGGGGTAATGTATTCAGATTCTATTCGTTATCACGAAACATCTTAGATATCCATCCGGTACTATCAATAAATCAATGAAGATTTGATTAAAAAGTGTTAAAAAGGCTGCGATTCTTATGGAGACAACTATGTCAATTATGAAAGCTATATGAACATTATTGCAGGTATGCGTGCACCATTAAGTTTTTTCCTTTAAGCATTCGACTTGCATGACACAGTACAATATCAAGGTTTTCAAAACCCCTATACCGATTCGTGGCCTAATCACCATTGCTCAACAGCTGACTGCCATCTTACTTGTCAAGTATAATCCGTTCACGAAATTCTTGCATCGTTAATCATTGCACATGCTTCCTCCATATTAATTCATAAAAAGTAAGCACCAGAATAGTGCCAGTGGCAATAACCCAAAACACAATCTGTTTAACCGCGGCATTGAGAAGCAATCAATGCACTTGGGTTATAAAAGATAGTTCAGGAGTAGGGCTCAGTAACATTCATCCTTGATTTGTTTTGGTCCGCATATTTTGTAATATCTTTTCTGCATTTTATAACCATACTTTTACTAGCATCACCATGTAAGTAGTTATCAGGCAACTCTCGCAACAGTATCAATTACTGACTCACATCTAAATCATCCAATCTGCGACCATTCACTGGTTGCAATTCAAATGAATATGAAGAACATAAGGGTTTGATGTCAGTGAATAGAACTTGTAAAATCCTTTTCCTTTATTCAGTGAATGTTAGTTCCATAGGCTTAATTATCGGCCACTCATGGAACCTGGGTGATTGCAATCAATGGAAATGATGCACGTTCATTGCGAATTGCAAATTCAGACTGATATACTGGAACGGTGGATGCGTGCATGCTCAAATGGCATCAATTCTAATTACTGCCTTAGATTGACTGTAATTGATGTACAATCTCTGGGGGTGTTTATTAGCTACTTCCGTAGCAACTGTTTCTCCGTTAGTGTACCCGGTATGCAAACATGAGCTGTGATGATCCAGATTTCCATTGGTACACAGCCAAAATTTCCTCAGACAATTATTAATTCAGACGGCTTCCGGGAATAATTGCGTCGTTCAAACGATTTTAATAATTCAGTTTGTCAAGCATATTTGATTTTCCATGCATAAAGAATCTCTGTTGTGTTTTCTAAACATTACGGAAATTGCTTTGGGAGTGCCAACTACAAAAATTGCATGATGAATAACCTCAAATGATTTCAGTTCTGAATGGATAGTTATAGCGTCGAAGCTCATAAAATACTTGAATGATATTGTTGATGTTATTGATTGATTGGAGAAACTGAAGCGTATAACAAAAGAGGTAGTACGCTCCTCGCATGATGCTGAATCGGCTCAGATCGGTTGCTGTTTAAAGTTCAATAGATACATAGAGCCTGATTTATTAGAATCACCATTTACAGACCGAATAATAACCGAGGTTAGATCAAATTTTACGAGGTCTTTTGTGTTAAAAGATTGCGAGTGCACTAGGGTTACCGTTGCAGTTTACGTAGACGTGGAATTCAATCTTTCCAGCAATGACGATTAAGTTTACTCAATTATTCATTTACTACTCACACAATACACGCATGTATTCTTCACCGCCAGCCATAGACAAATCAAAGGAAGAACGGATACCACTGTGACCCTTTACACTTACAACGCACATCTTTTGTTCAATGAACGTGTATGGTTATGTTCTGCTTAATTGTAACACTTTGTTGTTCCCACACACACATTAGACACAATTGATAATTACAGAATGTAATTGAATACCAAATAAATGCTTTTGATGACCGAACGATAACACACATTGAAGTGCTTCATAAATGGTGTAAAATTACAGAATATTTATAGAAATATAACCATTGACTTTCGTTATGTACTGATTTAATTGACCACACACTCCAGTGGCCAGTGACAATTCAGGCATAAAACAAATACAAATCGAATTGGGTTTTTGTTCAGATTAAGTTGCTCAGAATCATTATCAAACTGTATCTACAACATCTAGGAGCATGTTCGTCGTGTAACCATTGTATTAGGTACTTCGAAGTCTCGGTACAAGTTTCATACTTCAAACCAATGCAAAGTATTCTTGTGATGGAACTGAAGAAAATCTGTCTGGCGAATGATCACACCTGCCTATATTTTCAACTTTTTGCCTTCGTATTGATAACAAAACGTAGAGAAATCAAAATAAAACCGCAAGCGTACTATAGGTATTGGAGTCTTCCAGGGACACTTGAGAAAAGCCACATGGGGAAGCGACTAGGATTCATAAATGTTCAAAATCTCCTTTTATCGTATTTCTAAAGAGTGAGATTTATCTTTTGTTTACAACTGAAGTAGCAAAGCGGGCAAACTTCATTTTCACTTTGAGCTTTGTAAAACCGTGAATAACGCTAGCCAAAATTACTTAAATCAGCGGATGAAAAGATGAGGGTTTATGTCCCGGTCATTTTGGGCCTGTTCCTGGTAAATGTGCGTTCACCAATCACCACGTTGATGGTGAGATGTCCAACAGAAATCCTCACGGCGTTTTGTTCGCTCCGTTTACACTGTATAGTTTTGGTCTGATGATCGCAGCTTAATTTACCTGGCATTTCTGAGTTGCTTTTGTGATGGGCAGAAGCGACACCTTAAAGGCGGTAATATGTAATCATGCAATTCCACGCAATTGAATTACTATGGAGTAGAATTATACGCTGAGTTTGGTGTAAAATAACAAAGTCATTATTAAACGACATGGGTTGAAAGACCGCTTCGCCGGAAACAAGTTTAGAGTTGAAAAAAGTTTTCTAACTCATTTTCCGCATCGGAAAGAAAAAGGTGTTTGCCATTATTTTTGTCACAGCATTTTGGAAAGTCTAGTTTATGAGCCTAGCCAAACGAAAAGCACAGCACAAATAATTCAAGCTGAATGGTTTGATAAATTTATAGCAGACTGTATTAGCTTAGTATGTTTACAAAATCATCATTAGGTAATAAACAAGTGGTCTGAACTCACAGTTCACAGGCTCGTAATGTCCAACTTAGTATCAACCATAGACTGACAATGAATACAAGCAATGTTTTCACCGGACATAGGGTCATCAACGTTTTCAGTACAAATCGCAAGTCGAAGCAAACCTGAAATAAAACAAAATTGGTGGTAATTTGCATGTCAGTGTCAGGAGATGTAAAGTTGAGTATATTTTTTGTAAACCCAAACATTGACATGTGATTTACTTTAGTTGGCTAAGGTAGTTCCGATAATCGAACAAAAAATATTCCGGATTTCCCTGACGCTCGATAATTTCCTTCTCACAGTCTAGTCATCACTGGTACGAAACGTTGCAGTTCGTCTTAGGCGCTCAACTCCTAAATCTTTTGTTCACAGTTGGCTGCCGAAAATCGTTACTTTTATACACAGCAAACATTATCATGATGAGCGAAGTACGAATTAGAGCTGCCACTCTTGTTCTTCATTTCTTAGGGCCTAGGAATTTTGACTAATACGTGCAACAGATCTTTTAAAAAGTGGTTTCAGCAGATGTGTACGAATTTAAGGGGCAGCTAATTGATCCAAAAGAAGAATCCTTCAGTATATCACATTGCAAAATATTTATCTGCCATCATCGAAAGGAAAATCATCGACTGATAAGTAATAGTGAACACAACAGTACAGTCCTACGCAGTTCAGTTTTCGAAACATTCAATTGCACCTCCTTTGTCAAATGCTAAAGCCCAAATATACGAAGAAAGGAAACAAGTTACTGTTACCGTTGATGAGTGTTTGGTGGTTGAAATGTCCATTTTTTCACGAAAGCAGAGCAAAAGTAACAAATATCTGCTTTTGTTAGCTCATTTTTGGTTTCCATCGTTTAAAAATCAATCACCTTTACTCTCAGGGACAAACGAGAGTTCTGCATGAAGAAAACACTTCAATATCGTGGTTGTGTTAACTTAAAGTGCACTCTCTCACAAAGTACCCAGACATACTCCTGTGTAGGTAAATCAATTGATGAACGAACGGTCGAGGTCCACCTTCAAATCAACGCCGCACGACAGCATCATCAGTGATTCGTCATTTGTTACAGGCTGAACATCAACTGAACGTAACTACGATATCCAAGTGTTTCATTCATGGAAAGCTCTCAGTTGCTCCAGTGTGTATGGGCAATATCTGTTGAACGATGGAAACTGAAACTGTGCAAGCAGCGAGCGTTATATGTAACTCTTGTCTTACCTTGGTAGAAAGGTAGACACATTTATCATCAAAAACTTATGAACGTTGATTGAAATATACTATTTTGGTTATATTTTTTGATCGCAATATGTAGCTGAAAATAAACCTATTAAATTTCTCCTGAAATAAGGTATGGAGCATTGTGTTGTTGTGTTCAACATTCAAGTTTAATTGAGGGAAATGGTGTTAAATCATATTGATAAAAAAATTATTGCTGACATCAATAAATTTTCAATGATTTAGGTATTTACTGATAAAGGCTGATGCTAACCTGTCAGTTATCTTTGATTCATTAATTAATAAGCCAATAAAGCGCCATATATATTCATATAAAACGATTTGTGTTATGGTGCCGAAGTTCCTAATGGGTTGTAAAAAGATTTACAGATTTCTTTCCGTTAACGGCCAATCACGGTTCGTAACAATCGTCATTTTTCAACTTGTTATTGTGCTCAATCTACTAATTTGATGCATGTTCAGCTCAAGAAAAAAACACTGTTCACCTGTGTGAATGAAGTACGTGCGATGCCATTAATCTACAACCAATTCAGGCTCACATGGTACCCCAAACTGTATTTAAACTTCAAGTTGGATTCGCAGGCTTTTCGATCATATGCGGGATAGAAAATACGTAATTTATTTCAAACAGTGCTCCGTTTCTTATGTTGGTTCATCGTTAGCGTAATCAATGTGATATGCATCCATCAACAGTCCGTGAAGCAATTATGACAATAATTTAAATTTCTTGGACGGCCTGTGTAAAATCGGTTATCAATAAGTGTTGTTACACAGTTGCACTACCAGAACCTCAAGGTTTTTACTCTCAAAAAATCATTCTTGTTGAGGCAACTTAAAGCATGTGTTGTCTTGTGCCTTGTTTGTCATCCTATATTCAGGATTAATTGTCATACATCAAAATTCCACGCTGGTCCGTTCCAACGGGTCAACTGATTTCTCTCCGTGGAAACCCTATGAAATCACATGTAAAGGTATAATACTTTCCGACTGCATTCACCCATCTAAGGGCAATTCGTTGTAGTTTTGTTCTCATCCATTCATCCATCCAGTCTGATTATATTTCTTTATTCCCACGAAAACTGGTCGTTACCAGTCTCCACATAAATCGAATTGCCAACGATCATAGAGTTATTTTATAAGAATAGCTATGTGCAAGTCGTAGTTGATACATGAATCTGATCACATTTTATCCATGAACATTTGGAAATAGGTGGTGTTTTCCGCGAAAAGTTGGTTTACCAAACCATCAAAATGGTATGTGCACTATTATTAATTTGTCAGTGCTTGGTGTACAGCTTCACTGCATCCAAATCGAGGAGAGAAAATGCTGATAGCCAGTTTATGTATATGCAATGGCGTGACTACAATAAGAGTAGTATTAAGACTGCACATTTAACGATTTACAAGAATTATGCAAGATGGTTGGGGTACGTAAGCTGAGAAAAAAAGCAGGTGAGTGACAAAGCGATATGAAGCACAGTAATTATGATTTATTGATGGGCAAACTTTACAAATATATGCCTACATGTTTTTCCAGTAATATTAAAATGGTGTTTGGTTCAGACACAAAAATTCAAAAGCAAAATTTGTGTAATAATTCCACAAAGCGATGCTTGATCGAGTAACGGTCAGGGTATCGGTAAAACGGCATACATATTACCAAATGTCTTATTAGGAATATGTCTTCCGAATTCCCATATGCACACAATAGAGTTAATGAGACGGTTCACTATTGGTTGAGTATCATTTAATTACCATACTGAATAGCAGCAATTTTGGCCGTTGAAAGAAACCGCCATTCACATATTTTTTGCATCGAACGAATCAACATAAAGTCTACTACTCAATTCCATATGAATTATTTTGATGCAATAGCCCTAAATAACGCGAGAATGACGACTATGATTACAGTAACCGGTTGAATTTGAGAGGCCTCACTGATTTATCTTTAGTCAAAAACCATGTTTCTTTCTTCTCTTCATTTTACATGAACATTTAAAAGGAAGTTTGCTTCATTTTTATCCCATTTGAGTATGTGAGTGAAGCGTTGTCATAGAAGTAAACACGAGAAAACGTTCCGTAACTATTCGCCTTAATGACATTGAAGATTCTAACGGACTCGAGGAATGTTCTTGAGGAAGTTACACTTGCACCGGCAACTGCTAGAACAGATTTTCTGTCACCTTTGTCACCTTGTAATGAGCCACCCGTTTCCTACATAATACACATGATTAAATCAAAGATCAATCCAGTATGCCACAACAAAAATGGACTTGAATAGTCGTAAACCGGAATCAAATAATGAGGTATCTTCATTTGCTTGTAGATAAAAATACTGGCAACCAACTAAGTAAGCTTCTTGTTGGATTATAGTAATGGGATTGATAACCGAGGGTCGCTTAATGCCCTTTCCTCTGGCGGTGTTAAAACTTCTACATTAGAGATCTTGGTCAATTATTCTTCAAAATTTTGCGATTTCAGAATGCGATAAAAACAACAGTTATAACGAAGGATTTTATAATACAGTGTTTTGCATGGATAATACAGAAAGTTCATAGAGCCCTGGGAAGATCAAGAGCCATCCGCTGCTTTTTTTCCCCACGTGGAGTTTTTCGATCGTTGATTTTTTCTGCTCATTGGAGGTAATACCTTATGGTTTACGAAATAAAATGACTTATGATTTCACATTCACGATGGGCTCCTCTTTGTCCCTTTCTCAATAAATCTGCTATCTGGCTGTCTTTCATTTTGGAAGGAAAT